ATGAGTCAATTCGCATTAATTTGTCTCTCTACACACTTTCCAAGTGCAAGCACTGTTTTTCAGTTGTTTTCCTGTTGAATAGTGCTGGGTTTGGACACAAATTTCAGGATTCGATTCAATTCTGATTCACAAGCTTGCAGTTCGATTCGATTTCCGATTCGATTTGATATAGATTATTTTGGATATACAATACTGTGCAAAAGTCGTAGGCCACTAGTATTTTCACCAGCTAAAAAATGGTTTAAAGTCAGTTCTTTTTATCTTTTGCTATAGTGTAAATATCAGTTTACATTTCCAAACATTAAATTTGCCATTAATTGTAATAATCCAGTGAGATTTTTTTTGCAAAAATTTTTCAAGGAGAAAAGAAAATCTCTCAACTAATGCTGTAAAATATACACGAGAATCAGTTGGCACTACATTACTATAATATTGAAGGCTAAAATTAAAGGGGTCATATGATGCTGCTAAAAAGAACATTATTTTGTGTATTTGGTGTAATGAAATGTGTTTATCTGGTTTAAAGTAAAAAAAAACACATTATTTTCCACATACTGTACATTATTGTTTCTCCTCTATGCCCCGCCTTTTTGAAACGCGTCGGAAGAGCGGCAAAATGGTATTTATTGCTTTAATTTACTAATAAAATGGACAGAATTTGAAATCTGAGACTTTTGTTTCATATCAAACGTAACAAAGCGCAAAGATTGGTGGGAGGTGCACTACAATGTTCTGTTCATTAACTGAAAGCAGGCTAGCTAGACTAATTGATTCTTGGGATTTAAAGAATCACTATCGTTTCATAAAACTGAGAATCAATTACAATCGAGAAATCATTGTTGAACGTGTTAAATGGATGTCTTTGACCATTTTGTTGCTTTTTGCCATTTTTGGTTTTAAAGTCGTTTCAAGCTTGTCTAGAAACACTTTGTTCTGCTCAGGTGTACCGTTTTTAATCGCTTGATCCGAAAACTCTCAAGTCTTGTAGAAATGTGTTGTAGTTACATGAATGCTGAACATACTCAAGAAAGTAAAACTTCTCAAGAGTTGAATTTTTGTCAAACGCATTGAATTTTTGTCAAACACATTGAATCGACTGAATATGAATCACATTTATTCGGACCGCTCTCTTTCTCTCACTGAATCATCTGAAGCGTTTTCTAAGTCAATAAAACAAACCGTATCGATATACTGAGGAGAACAAAAGAACTCTGGATTTGTTTCAAACAATTGAAACAAAAGGTTAATTTTTGAGAGGTAATTTTGAACATGCACTAGATGAATGTCTTTGACCATTGCATTGAACTTTTTGCTTTTTTGAAGTGTAAAAATAAAAAAAAATGTAAAAACATCTAGACACCTGCATTCTGCTCAGGTGTACCATTAAATATATAGTTCACTCATTTACTCACCCTTAAGTTGTTCCAAACATGAACAATGCTGGTAAACAAACAATTACCAGTAGCCACTGTCTTCCATAGTATGGAAGTCAATGGCTACCGGCAACTGTTTGTTTCCCAACATTCTTCAAAATGTGGTATTTTGTGTTTAACAGAAACTCATACAGGTTTGGAGCAACTTGAGGGTGAGTAAATGATGCCAGAATTCATTATTCACTATCCCTTTAAAACCCGTTCACACCAAGAATATCAACTAGAAGGTACAACAATGATAGCTATATTAGCATCCACACCAATGCATGATAATGTTCTGATGGAGGTATGGCGTCTCGTTGTTCATCAGCTGAGAAAAACACAATTTTGAAAGTGATTCCAACAATATTGTTTGTTAAAGTGACTCTGCTATTTTTTAAATGTAAAACTATTCTTAAAACTAGGCTATATCTTAATCGTTATCATTGTACTTATTGTCTTTTCATGAATGGGTCTTTACTTGTTTGGTCCAAAGAGCCTAAAGTCTTATAGAATAGCATACTATACATGAAACTACATTGAAATTAAAACTTTTTTTTTTTTTTTTACTTTTTAGTGTTGTTTTTGCCCAAAAATGTCCCTTCTCTGTGTAAAATCAGATGAAATCCTGTAGGCGCCCATGCCTAAGACTGCCATAGAGCACGTAAAGCCTGGCTTGGGCATCCGTCCACCCCCATACGGCGAAGTTCCCAGCACTGGAGACGGCAATCGAAACCAGACAGCAATTAAAGGCTGTCTTGCTCGGTCCTCGGAGATGTTCAAGGAATCAGCCACAACACCCTGAAACCATGGGATTTGTGCACCTTATCGCAGCCTCTATCTAATGACTTGTGGAAGGTAGTGGAGGAGTAACCACATCTAATGGCCTCCCCCTGCTTTCCCCTATGTGGCAGTGCAGCAGTTCACGTACAGTGTGCAGGAAGTGATTAAGTGGGCGAGATCAAAGACACTGGACACGATAAACATTCCTCCCCAGGACGAGTCGCTCGGGGCAACAGCTCGCTTCCTCCTCTCGCAGACTTCCACCACAGCGCACACATTGTCACCACATGACCGTAGAGGATGTGTGGAGCACCTTTGTTGGTGCGTTGAGTGTTTCAGAGGCAGGGGATGTGAGTGTGTTTTTGTGAATGGGTTTGAATGGAGCGAAAAAGGCAAAAATACTGAGGACAGAGAGTCTTATCTGAGGGATACGCGTGGGTCATCGATCTCAATACACATGACTTATCTGCTAGGAAGATCTAGTGATGCTTAAGACGACAATATTGTGTCCATTTTAATGGTTTATAGTTTTGTAATGAATATTTCTATTTGATTGATTATACAATTTCAAGAAAAGTAACAGGGTGGAACGTAGTTAAAGTTAAAGTAGGGCCATATGAAATCTGTTTTATTTTTGCTCAAACTCCATTTTATTTATTTTTTCTAAATTCTTTTTTTTTTTATTTTTTTGATTTACATTTTTCTGGATTCCATTTTTTTTTCCTCATTTTAATTATTTTGGATTACATCCCCACCCCCACATTTTAATTTAGCTGGATTTTGTTTTATATTTTTAAATTTTAGCAATCAAAAAGCATGTCTAATTAATTTAAATTATAAAACCTACACAATTTAGCTAGTTTATTAAAATTTTAACAAAAATGACATTTTTAGGGCCCTACGAAATCCATTATATTTTTTCACAAATTTCATGTTATTTTTCCCAAGTTACGTGTTTTTTATAATCTTTTATAAAAATTTTATGATAATTTTTAAATCTTTTTTGATGGGTTATCATGAAAACCTTTGAGTTTCTGTGTGTATCTGATTTTTTTTTGACATTTTGATTATATCATACAGATTTCTGTAATTGCGTAAAACAGAATGGAATGCTTTAAAGGGGTCATATGATGCTATTTTAAAGATCATTATTTTGTGTATTTGGTGTAACCGAATATGTTGACATGCTTTAATGTTAAAAAAACCCATCATTTTTCAAATACTGTACATTATTGTAGTTCCTCTATGCCCCGACTGGTCATATGATGCTTTTTTAAAGATCATTATTTTGTGTATTTGGTGTAACCGAATATGTTGACATGCTTTAATGTTAAAAAAACCCATCATTTTTCAAATACTGTACATTATTGTAGTTCCTCTATGCCCCGACTCTCTTAAACGCATCGTTTTCTACAAAGCACCTCCTTCCGACAAGCACAGTCTGATCTGATTAGCCAGCTGACCCAGTGCATTGTGATTGGCACTTAAACTATTAAGAAAACATAGTTACAGTAGCTGATTCAGAATAAGCGCCAGATTGTCATAGCAAAGTCAAATTGACCCATTTTTTTTAGAAATAGCCTTTGCATAGCCAGCCTTGTAGGCTACTCTCCGGTTCACAAAACTGTCGTCCATAAAATGCGTTGCACAGATTCGAACATCTGGGTTGTGCTGTTCTGTTGTAAACAAATCTTAACAATGATTCCTCACGGCATCTACTTTCAGAAGGCCAAATAAAGTGCTTTTGCTTTCGCACAGAAACACAGCGTCTACCTTATATGGCTACATCAACACTACTGCGGTTCCTGAAGCCACGCCTTCTTTCTTTGCGTGAACATTTGGGCGGCATTACGCAAATATTTCTACATTGTGATGTAGAGATGTGTGGGTGTGTTTGAATGAGGCATTTTAGCCCGGTCTGGATCAGCCTTCTCTTTTAGATAGAATAAATCCTTTTGCAGGAGACTGAGCTTTGTAACTCTGCAGATCTTATACATGCACAAATATCTACATAACACACTAAAGAAAAGGAAAAATAGAAATCGCATCATATGACCCCTTTAAAGAAAAAAGGGGAAAAGCAACTGATTGCATAAATATCACAGAATATTAGATCCATAATATTTAAGCTGTAATTTTCCTGCAAGGTTGTCACTTCCTGGAGAATGATGTCATTAAAGGAACATGCGTTCTTCATTAAAAAGATTCGTTTATGGGATATTGCGAAAGACTAACAGGATGGAAATTGAAAATGTATAGAGACACATCTGAAAAGCTTTTGAATTTATTACAAATTTAAACAATATTCCAAAATAATATTTACTAGAATATTTCTTAATAATTTAGCATTTTCCATGCTACAAATAAGTTAAGGAAGTAGGACATAGCAAAACATTTTTTTTTAATAAATAAATAAAAATAAAGTCCAATCAAACCAAAGTAGTAAAGTCATTTAAAATTCAACTCTTTTCCATCTTACAAATACTTTATTCATTGTATGATTGAGTACTCCTTTGATAGCAATGACCTAATGAATGTCCCCTCTAGTCCAAATAAACCAGGCTTGGTCTCAGTTTATAGGGATATGTGTTAGTGTGTGAGTAATGGTCGTGTTAGGCACATAACAAGACCTGTAGCATGCTAATTTCACACATGGTTCTGTTGCTGTTCTACAGCTGGCCTGTTAACGGACTGCCATTGGGAGTTTATTAATCAGACCAGCTGCAGGTGTGTATGTGTGTGCATGTATGTGTGTGCATTTGTGCGTGTGAAAGCGCATGTGTGTGTGTGTGTGTGTGTGTGTGTGTGTGTGTGTGAGCTGCTGAAGCAATTGCAATGAGGGGAAACCTCTCTATTCAGATGACGTCAAACGTTTGGAGGTAAATGTTATCACAAGTTGAAACTGGAATCCTTTGTAGGTGCAGTGCCGTTGGTTTGTGTGGGTATTAAACCGTTTGTAACTTCTGTGCATTGGGAAAGCGTTTGTTTCGTTTAGATTTTTTTAAAGTGTTATTTATTTATTTATGTATTTATTGTTCAATTAAAGGGGTCATATGATGTTGCTAAAAAGAACATTATTTTGTGTATTTGGTGTAATGAAATGTGTTTATGCGGTTTAAGGTTAAAAAAACACATTATTTTCCAC